AAAGCCGCAGCCCACCGGCCAATTTGCACAGGGGATTACGAACAACGCCGTGAACTAGCCACGTCGATCTTCGAGTAGGTACACCGGCGATTTCCCTCCATCACCTACCATTTTGCTGCGACCGCGCCGTTTCCTTCCAACGGTGATCGATAGTGCCTCAGTTTGACGAATCGCCCCTGGATACTTTCCAGGCGTGAAAACAAACTATCGAATCATTGAGCGCAGCAGATTTAACCATTTGAGAACTATGACTATGGCTATGACAACATTTCTGCTCCTGGTGGCTTCCTGTCAGCGAGGCAAAGAGGATTTCGGTGCAATGGAAAAGAAGTTAACAAGTATTTTAAACGAAAGGGCAAGAGTAAATCAGTGAATGTAAGAATAAAAAGAACGGAATGATTAATTAGTTTTAATGGGATTAAAATCAAACTAAAAGTTGGTGATACCAGCATTCAAGGGATAAGAAATGCATTTAATATGGAGTTTAATATTTAATTTACACGTAAATAATTGATAATAGAATTCGGATACTGAACTTTTAATTAAAATTATAGGGTAGTTGAGTACCCCATTGCCTCAAACTGCTGTGTTGTGTAGGAACTTCATGTATCCTACATAAGTATCCTGGCAGGCAGCGTCTTAGTGCTGTAACATTAAATGCAGAGCTTCTGAGCTTTCCCTTGAGTGCAAGACACAGTATTTGGCTACCAGCCTGGAAGAATTCAGAAAGTTCGCAAGGGATTGAAATCGTACAGGGAAGAAAGCCGCGGGTCACGTGGGAGCCCTCTGAGGGTATGATAAACCTGAGGACTCCTCAGAGCCGGGCAGCCAAAAGCACAACTATGGCAAATGGCTACACGGGAACATAGCTAATTGCCAAAATACAGTGCCCACAAGGGATTTAATACTCAGTAGGATAGACTGGCATTTCTTCAACTGCAGAAGTGAATCCCACATTGTGTGCTGTTTCGCTGGTTCCAGATGAAAGGGCATCATCGAGAGGGCGCAGAAAGGACGCAGGTGAGGTACATCAGTTTTGGAAGGGAGCATGGGAGACAGGGAACTACAGCGTGCCTGAAGGCCAAGCAGAGTATTTGGATGGTTTACAGTTTAGTGTTGAGAAAGTAGGAAGTGGATCTTATTCACAAGATGTTCATAGGTCATGACAGGATGTTGGGGAGAAACTAGTGAAAAATGAGTTTCAGGCTACGGCAATGGGAAATTTTGAGGAAAGTTTGGCTTGATGGGTAGGGGGAAAAGGAAGAATGGCAAGTATAAACAGGAGGAGCTAAGGATCGGATAGTGGATTGCTTACTGATGTTAAAATGAGCCTACTGATTTAGCTTTAAATACACAGTATATTTGTGCATGTTTGCAAACTGCTTTCCATCATTGCAAATTTACCAAAAGTTCTGAGGTCTCCGGAGGATTTCTAGGCAGTTAACCGTGAGGGTAGCGAAATTGTGGGTGTTCCGCAAACAAAACTGTCGCGGTGCTAGTTCATTACCAGTCGCCGACCCTCCATAATAATGCACATTCTCCGTCTGTTAACTTCCCGTCGGTAACAGCACCGACGTACCCAGTCTAATGTTGAGGCCACTCATTGTTTTTAGTGCAGGATTTATAAAAATAAATGGCGAAATCAGGAAATGTGTAAGCAATAACAACAGAAAATACTGGAAATGCTCATCAGATCAGGCAGCATTTAATGTTTCGGGTCAGTGACCTTTCCTCAGAACTCAGAAAGGTCGCGGAAATGTTAAACAACGCGGTGTCAGCAAATAATGGCGGTGGCCTCGACAATTCGGTACGACCCTTCTGAGATCATTAGCGGAAATTTATATGGACTGGAAACTTACAAAGATGAAATTCAAAATCGAAGTCTTGTGTAAAAATGGGCCAAAATACGCAGAGATCGACACGGCAATTTAGCGCTATCGTTCAAAGTCAACAAATAACAGCTGATACTTTCACTTAATTTTTTTCGCATTGTCTTGTAATTTTGGTAATAAGGAGAAACATCACAGGAATCCATTTGTAAGTTATCAATCAAACCGGGAACATATAAATGGACTCCTCTTGTCAAAATGTTCAGAGGAACACGTTAAGTATGTGGAAAAATACAAATAAATAGTAACACCTCAGTCCCTCGGATTGGCAATTCGTAAAATATATTATTAGTCTAGGTAAAGCGAGATCGGGCCGTATAGGAAGTAAAACTAGCAGAAAAATGTACGGACCCATTAAACCTGGAGCGAAAATCTCCATAAGGTAAATATAGTGCAAGGAAGTCTGCTGGTCAAAATACTTTAATAAAGTATTGTACAAAGTAGCTGTAGGTTTCGTTTTCGGATCAATTTCTCAAAGCGCACTTGATAGCTCTCATGGTGGCGCCAAATTGTCCCATAAACTGGTGCTATGTATATAGTCCAAAGTAGTTTACTGCGTGTTCCTCAATCTGGTAACGTTTGATTACAGAACTTCCTGCCTTCTATCACCACCAACTTTATATAAAAATATGCTTCTATTTCAATTTATCAATGAATTCATTCCAATTTATTACAGAAAGTCTCGTCTAAGTTTCAAGTTCGTATTTCTGAAGATGTTGCTTTCGTTTTCGGCAATGAGATCCACTCAATTGTTTTTAGCGTAAATATTAAAATGTTACATTGAAGATGGAGATTCGCCTATCATCTGACTGGAGTACGATTTTCTCTAGTGATTATCATTCTTTACCGTGTATATTGTATTCTTCCGAAGCTCATTACATTTTTTGCCATTGATAACATTTGGTGACTCAAATTGATAGCTCGAGAAACCTAGAGATGTGCAGCGTTTCCTCCTGCCATACGATCTGAACAATCAAGTGGAATTTGTAACTCAACAATCGAATCAATAGCAATCATCTTTTGGCAGGTCTTTGAAAGAGCTGTTAATTTAGGCCGTCCCTCAGCCTTCCTCCCACGATATTGAACGGTGTTTTCTGGTTTGGGGCGATTTTTTTGCTAAAGAAAAAGTCAATCATATCCCTGTAGTACAATGTACACCTATTACCTTGAATTCCGTTAGTTGATTGGCTTTGGTGGGATTAGAGAACTGTTGGTTTCGTGGTATTATCGCTGGACTACTAATCCAGAGACTAAAATAATATTCTGGGAACCTAGGTTCAAATTCCACCCCGGCAAATGTTAAATTCAATATTTTTTAAAAATCTGAAATGTCTAATGATAATCACGAAACTACACCTGGGCAAAAATCCATCCGGTTCACAAAGGAAGAAACCTGCTCTCCTTATCCTCGAGTGGCAACTTGTGACTCCAGACCCAGACTCTTATTTTCTAGCTGTAATCTAAAATTGACCGAGATTAGAAAAGATTGTTATATTTGTAAAATTAATATATATGTTACATTGGAAACAACAATATTAGTGTCTGCTACTGTGGGATTTTCTTGGACAGATTTACTAAATTTTATGCGACAACAATTTGATTGCGGACACCTAATAAGTATATTATTCGACACATGAAACGTTTACAGGTGGCTTGACAATAATTTTAAGCCAACAGTTAGAACACATTGCAACATTTCTCTGAATCAGAGGGCCTTAATGATGAAATAGTCTATGGAAATGATTAGTAGCTTCTTGAGAACATAATACTTTCAACCTTGTAATGTCAAACAACAAAATATTCTTTAGAATTATTATAAATTAATGTTTTTTCCAATGCTTTCCTATTGCACTACTTTTATTGCTGATAACATACATGTGCAGGATTTACCTAAAAACGTTTTACAGAAATTGCGGTACCAATTCAAAATTATGATTAATGAAATAACATCTGATATATTTGAAATATATGTCTAAATTTCTTTTGACATAATTTACTTCAGTCTCAACGGCAACGTTTGCAGTACTTTCTACAAAACCACAGTGCACATTTTCGCCACAGTATTGTGCGTGTACAGATTGAAAATTAGTTTCCTTTTGCAACTTTTTGATTGCAAATAAGATATTTAAAACGATGTGGTTGAAAAATCAACCGCTCCTTCTTACTTGTGTACCTTTACTTCTGCACAATCTTAGTAAGTTGAATACATCATGACGTTTGTGTGCAGTGCTGGGGCAGCTCAGCGTTTTTGGATCTGTTGTTTCAGGAATAAGATGTGACTGGAAGTTCGCCTGCCCTAAAAGCTGTACCAATATAAAATATATTTTTAATCAAACTGCTTAGAGATGCTAGTACCGTATACATCTCAGGGGGAGGTGGGACTTGAATCGAGGCCTCGTAGTAATAGTGCGGCCCTGCTCCATATCGTGGCTAATGCGATCAGTTCGTATACCTAAATTGCAGTTTGCGAGACCTCGCTGTGGGAAAATTGATTGCTATCCAGTGGCTATCTTTCATACATACTCCATGCACTGTTATGATATGACGGGTTGAAGGGGACTATATCAATGGAAGTCAGTCAGTTGTTTCGTGCTCTTAAAAGACGAGCGGTTTTGTTTCAAACTGACGTCCTTAAAGCAAACAGTAAATTATCATGGATTCATTCCATCTGAAACTTCCCAACTGGAGTTCGGTCGGAGGTTAGCATCCTGAAATGTCAACACAAAGATGAGGCTCAGGATGAAAATATCGGATGTCAACACGCAGCGGGCGAAGCACGGCTGCAATTTTAACGGAGCTGGGAAGCATGCCATAGGGCGGGGGAGTGAAACAAACACATGCTCAACTCACATTTCAAAAGAGAAAATCAAATCAATACAATCAGCAGGAAGCCCGTCGTCTCTTTGGCTCCTCCACACCGAGGGATGACAACTGGCGCTGCCGAGGCTCGAGCACGCGGGGAAGGGGTTACGCGCACGGCTCCCCCCTTCCACAGTCAGTTGAGCGCGAGGCGGTTTGAAGCAGGAAGGTGGTAATGACGCGCGCGCCGAGCCGGGCGTTTGTGGGGGAGGGGGAATCGGTTTGAAGCGGGAGTGAGGAGTCGTTGACGCGCGCGCGAGAGCTCGTGCGGTGCTGTAGCAACAGAGGCTTCGCGGAGCCACAGGGAGTTGGAGTTGGAGTTGTCGGGGGGAGGGGATAGCGAGCTTAGGTCGGATCCAATGTGTTTATGTGCGTGTGTTGGTGTCTATGAGAAGGAGGGAGAGTGCATTATGTGGCCTGCTTGTCCAGTAATCATCGGCCAAAATGCTCGATCTCTCCCTTCGCTCTAGTGGAGCGAACGAGTGATCTCGGGGCGCCGAGGACGGCAGCGGGGAGAGATCGCCGAGTGCGTGTGCGGAATAACACACGAAAGAGGACGGGAAGAAAACTTAAACATGGCGTTGAGGGAGGAGGGGGATTCGGCGGCGCACAACAACACCAGCAACGCCAAGTGCCCAGAGGAGAACAGTCGCAATGGTTATGTGAAGAGCTGCGTCACCCCGCTGAAACAGGACGGCGGGTTTTCCATCTGCAGGTGGTGTAACTTGGAGAGGCTCGGCTTGGTGCGTCCGAAACTTGCAGCCTTTTACCTCGGGGGCGGCTGCAGTGCCTTTGCAATCGTCGCTCTATCCATCGTGGCCAGGAGATGCCTGGACGCGGAGTTTCTTTCATCCTTGCTGCAGACTTTCCAGGCGGTATGGGCAATCGCATTCCAGTCTCTCAGTCCTCTCTTTAGCATCTGCTGTGCCTTCTTTTGGTTGACATTTTATCTGAGGAAGAGCAAACGCGAAAGCAGCACGGCTTGGCTTCTGTCATTGCCTCCATGTTGCTACCTCGGAGATTTCTTGGTGGTGCAAGTTTTGGTCGGTGAGGACCAGCTGTTTCTTTGCAGGTTGCTGGCTCCGGCCGTGGTGCTGGGTTGCGTGGGCTTTCTGACATTACTTTCCACTTTGAAAGTGAAACAGAGCGTCCTGATCTTGTTGTTCGCCGGCGTTCTTAGGTTGGCTTCCATCACCAGTTTGATCGCCCTCCCAGCAGCTCTGAGACCCCTGTTGGCCTGTGGGGTCGGGATGGTGGGGGCTACCATTGCTGTATATTTTGATTACCTATTTCCGAGAGAAGCCCGTCGTAGGATAACCACAGAAGAAAAAATCCCAGTGATCAAACCACGCAGGAGATCGAGTTGTGTTTCGTTGGGAGAAACATCAACAAGCTATTATGGTGGATGCAAGATGCCCAGGAGGACGTCGTTGCCTTGCATATCGAGGGAGCAGGTACGAGTTGTTTAACTTCACGTTATTTTTGAAATCCCTCAATATATCAGATTGACATAAAAATATACATGCGTAATGTTAGTAAACATCTTCGAAACTGACATGCGTTTCTCGACCGTACTCTGAAAAATCTTTTATGATACAGATGACATTTCTGTAATAATTGCCCAAAGTCAGGCAGTAACGTACGCGAAATCTTTATGCTTTTACAGAACATTGTATCTTTTAAGCTATAGTGAATATTTTTGAGTCTATGAATTATATTATTTTCATATCTAAACGTTTATGATAAGATTCATAGTGCAAGTAACTGCAGTTCATTTAGATAGAGAGCGAAATGTAAACGAGCTTTTTCGCATGGTACATGAACTTGAAATTTATTGGAAGAATACAGTTATATATACAAACAAATCTTGGCATTTTTAAATAACAAATTCTGACACTAGTTTGTAAAACAATTAAGATGCTTTCATTTATGTAAAGACGTATTTTGCTATTGTAAGATAAAACAAAGTAGTGAAGTGTTTTCGAATGTATAATATATTTTGTCAGATTACTATTGGAAAGAATTTCTGTTGTCAATTTAGATTTTTTGGATCACAATTTAAAGCGAGTCATACAAATTCCATGAAGCAGTTCTTAGTTTCCCTCCTAAATTCCAGGTAGAAGCCTAAAGTTTGTAACAAGTGTGATGGATTTTCGGAATTGAAAAGAAAAATCTGATCTATGGATATTAGCTTATATTGCTGCCAAAGTTTCACGTTTTGAATTGAATTTAAAAATAGTGTAGTTTTAGCTTGCTCTAATTTTGTGATATGTAATTGCTATCACTTTCTAAATATGTTAAAAATATTTAAATAAAGAATTTTCAAGATTAGAGCAGGTGGTAGTGGCAAAGTCAAATCCACATGTAAAGTCTTTTGATCCATTGCTTAAAATCGATGAACAACGTTTGTAGGCTATATTTTGTTAAATGTGCAGAAAGCATATATGGTACTGGTTTGTCAAAATGTGGGACATTTCAAAACTTTTATTACTACTAGTTGAATCGATATGTATTGATAGATATTGAGCAGATGACTACTTTAGAGATGTTATTGTAAATAAAATGTATTACTAGCAACAGATTATTTGTTTTTAACATTTTTAAAGTGTGAAGATATGACACTTCTTCGTGGGGAAAATATGGTCAGTGTGAAAATGTTTGGGCCAGAGTTTTTTTTTTCATTTTTGGTGCACAAACTGGGTTAGTATTGATGTATCTATGTTGGGTATGGAATCAGCCTTAGAATATTTTGCCTGATGCTAAATTCTGGAAAATATGTTAGCACTAGAGCTAGGTTATATTAAGTAGTCCTGAGGAATTGGGAGAAATCAGGACTTCAGTTCGCATTTTTTAAATTTCTGTATCTCTGTATATCTTTTAACCTGTAATATTTCATGAGAACTTGCTCAGCAATGTAATACTGGAGACTTACCAACGTGAATATTGATTAGATAACACCTGGTTAAATTGTGTTATTTATCTCCATTTACAAGATTGTATGGTCGTGGACACATTCTTGAGCATATGTTGCCATTTTTACTTAATGGTTATTGTTTTTTGCTTAATCTTCCCTCCCAACATAACTTTACATATTATGTTCCTCTGGTGTCCTCTCTCTTGTGTATCCTGTATTCATTTTCATCACTATTGGTGATAGAGCTTTTATTGTATCAGAGCTGCTCCCTCAAGTACCTTCACCTTTTAAAAGTTTGACAATCCGTCATTGGCCAAACTTGCACTCTGGTTTCCTGATGTCCTCTTCCTGGTTGGCATGTGTTTATCATGTCTTATTTGAAGAACCTTTTCATGTTTCTTTACAAAGGTGGTATATGTATAGAAATTGTTGGTCATGCTAAATTAGTGGCCCAGTGAATCTCTCCAGGTTGCTGTCAATATTAATAATTTGTAATTAGCTGCTTGAAGATATGCGTGCAGTCTGACTGGTGAATTCCTGTTTTCACTTATTGTGGACATACAGCTTCCACTTGGCCCAGGATTACTTGGTCATATATGATTACTAACACCATCTTACTGATGATTGATGATGATGCTCTGAATATATGAGCTATTTGTGGAATGTGAAAAGAACAGCACAGTAACATTTCTAAAATGTTCTGTAACAACGTTATTACATTAAGTGATTAAAATATTTCAAGAAATTCTGTAAGTTGAAAGGCAAATTGTAGGTAAAGGGAGCTGTGTATCTCTGGATTGTGGTAGAAAACTAGCTGAAATGAAGTGTATTTGTTTGTGTTTCCAACTGAGGTATCTGAGGCCTAAGAGGCCAGCGTAGTTGCAAACTTTATGTTGTTTTCCCCTTTTTTATGTTTCTTATGGCTTGATGGAAGTGAATCAATAATTTCCTCTTCAAGCAGTTTTAACTTTGTGCACTCCAAGTCAGAATGTAAGAGATGATCAGAATGTTCTTAATTTTTATGGAGTGATTAAATAAATTTTACAAGAACACCATAAACTATCTCTTATTTTGTTAATAGAATTTGATATTTTATGTGGCCCACAATTCATAATTGTAGGTGATGGGGAAAATAAAAGGGTTTTATTAAAAGGCGTAAATTGAAACTTCCAGCCTAGAAGATATGAATAGAGAATAAAAATAAGTCTTTTCTGGATTTGAATTTACTTTATACTGGTGTACTTGGCAGTGAGAGAGTAGAGATGAGTTTGGAACATGGAAACAAAAGTAGGTGATTTCACCTGTGACTTTGTTCTTTTATTCAGTGAGATTGTGATGAATGTGTAAGCCAACTCCTTATTTTCCCCATATTGTTTAATACCTTTGGTTGAAAAAAATCTATCAATCTCCATTTAAAATTGACATTAAATTTAGCTTTGCTTTTTTTTGAAAAGAATTTTGAACTTTGGCCATGCTTTACTTAAATAAGTGTTTCTTAATTTTACTCAGTTACTATTTGGTTGTAATTTTAAGACCATGGTTTGTTATCCCAGACTCCCCAAATAGTTATTTAGTAGTACAGAACCTGAAAATTGTGAAAAGGGAGATGGTGTTTAAGCTTTTCATCTTGGATTCATCAGGATTGAATTGCAAGAATACAGAATCTGAAAGGGAGCAATAATTTGTGCTGTGTTAAAAGAAGTGTTGGTTGATTGGAAAATGGACTCTGGTTGGGATGTCACTGTGAAAAATGCACCAGGACAGTTAACTGCCGAGCTTTTGTTAAAATTTAAACAGGGCAAGCTAACTGATTAGCTAAGGCATTACCATAGGGAATGCACCAGGGTAAGGCTATCCCATAAGCTTCAGAGCAGTTGAAAAATGTGTAGTGTATTGGATTTTTTTTTAGTTTGCAAAGAACAGGACCATTCATGTGGAGTATGTGGCATTGAGCACATATAATTGAAACACAGAGACCGACTGATGATCTTAGATTGATAGTGTAATTTTTAGCACATTGGGATTATTTAGCAAATATTGTATAATCACAGAATCACATCCCATGGCTTTGGAGGCAGTCCAGAGAAGGTACACCTAGGTTGATGCTGGGTCACTGTTACCAGGGCCCGACCATTAACTGTTTAAGTCCTGCCCTTGTTTGTCTTACCAAAATGCAACACCTCACATTTATTCAAATTAAACTCCATCTGCCACTCCTCGGCCCATTGTCCCAATTGGACAAGATCCCTTTGTAATCTTAGATAAACCTTTTTCACTGTCCACTATACTCTCAATTTTGGAGTCATCTGCAAACTTACGAACCATGCTTCCTAAATTTTCATCCAAATGTTTTATCTAAATGACAAACAACATTTGACCCAGCACTGATCTCTGCAAACACCGTTGGTCCCTGTCCACTTGTCTGAAAAACAACATTTCACCAGCACTGTCTGTCTCCTACCTTCAAGCCAATTTTATATCCAGTTGGAATCACTTGCATGTGATCTAACTTTACTAACCAGCCAACAGTGTGTAACCATGTCAAAGGCTTTACTAAAGTCCATGTAGACAATGTCTACTGCTGTGCCCTTTTCTGTCTTCTTGTTCACGTCCTCAAAAAAACTCAATCAAGTTTGTGAGACATGATTTGCCCTGCACAAATCCGTGCTGATTATTGCTAATCAGTCCTTGTGTTATGATCCAGACCAAAGCCCCTCAAAATATATCAAGGAGATAGCCCAGACCCTAACTTTTATTTATAGGCAGGTATAAGAGCTGTGCACCAAATGTGATTCGATTGATCACACTCCAGGGCTTTAAGCAACACACATTTTATTCTTACACTACCGTTAAAATACATACAAAAGAAAGAAGGTTTCGTATAACTTTAACTCAACTGATAAACTTAACAGAAGCATAGGTTATTTAACAGCAACTGTTCCAGTCTAGTAACATCCCATAAACACATCCTTGGCAATGGCAAATTCAGTAAAATAAGATGTCTGTCATGCGATGTTCTTCCAGTCCAGGAGGAAAGAATGCCAAGAGAAAATTTGGGTAGAAAGAGAACTCCAGGTTTTCTTCAAAAAAAAGACAGGATGAAGTACACCTCTTAAATCCATAGTATCATCACACATGCCTCTTGAAATGCATGTAAATCCTATCTCTAAGAAACCCCTCCAACATCTTACCCACCGCTGATGTCAGACTCACCGGTCAGTAGTTCCCAGGCTTCTCCTGGCAGCCTCTCTTAAATAAAGTAAGTTGGCTCAAGTTGGTATTTGATGCACTTGCCTTATGCATCTTCAGCTGAGATCCCCAATTTACCGCAAATAAGGATAAAATGTTATATATACCTAAGATATACCTTTGGAAAAGAAGAGAGAGAAAGATACTCATGCAGTAGAAAACACGACAGATAATTCTTCTGGTGGAATTGAAAGGCACAGAGGGAAAATGTACCATGTGTATGGCAGGAGGACCATCAATATATGTTTGAATCACTCAAACGAGCATTATTGTATTTGTATTGTTGGTTAT